TTGATCATAAGGATCTCATTACTCTGTATAGCTAGTCGTATGTTTACTCCATATTAGAATCAAACATCAACATCGCAAGATTGTGATAATTACATACATATTAGGCTGAACGCTTTTGTAATTGTATGCAATAAACGTATAGTTCTAACGCTGTTCCGACTTTATATTCCTATGTATAACTGTCGATGGCTGATTAAATAATAAGAGAAGACGTATAGTATAGAAAATCCAGCGCAAAGATCAATACAAAAATTACGATAAATGGGTATTTGAAGGTTAATGCGGAAAATAAAAACAACTTGATGAAGCAAATATAGCATCAAAAGAAGTAGTTTATATGCATAGTGATAGCGTTGGAAATGTACCTTATGCAATGTACAGAGCTTATGAAGATAAGAATGCACGATTTTATTTATAATAAGAAAAGTTGGGACATCTGAGGTATGAAATTAACAAGAGGCCAGTTCAAAACTAATACAGTCAACCTCCCCTATTGTCACACAGTTGGAATCTGTGACCGTATGGGATAATACAAATTATTGGAAAAAAGAACGCGGGAGTATGAACGAAGATGAATTTTTAAAATATAAACGGGAATATGAAGCTCGTCTTGGTATTCCTACAACTCCATGCAAAAACGAGTGAATTCAATGGATATTGAATATGTATAGCGCTCTTATTATAATTCGAATAGAAAAATAAACGTCGCAAGTTTTTGGTGAACGAAGATTGTGGTTTAATTAATCATTCATCAGATAATAATAAAGCGTTTGTTACAAAAAAACTTCAAATCGAAAAAATAATTTCTAATACTTACAATAAACATACATATTACTATTACGTATAACTTAGCATCCAGCTAAAACAGCTAAAAACGTGCGGCTCTGTGTCACATTCACGTTAAAATTATCATTACTATCTCTCCCTTTTTTATAGCATAAAACGGGAAACATATATTATCTCTCGGAGAGAATGCACTCCATGCAGTAGCCGCTCCGCGTTACAATTGCCGTCCTAATTTGTACGTAATGGGAAAAAAGAGACCGCGTAAGCGGCTTTGCTCTGCAAATGGCAGGCAATATGTTCTTAATCGGTCTAAAAATATGAACAAGCCAACTCCGCAAGTCAACGCCTGCAGCCGTACGCGATGCAGTCACAAACTGGTCGTCGCTCGAACGATGACACAAACGCGATCTTGTCATCACTTGAACAATGACGTAAATGCAAACTCGTCATCACTTGGACAAATAAACATTTTTTTTGTCTTTACTGGCCAACTCCACAAGCCAACCCCTGCAATGACGACGCAATCACAAACTCGTCGTCACTCGAACGACGACGCAAATGCAAACTCGTCGTCACTTGGTAGCGGCTGACTTTTCCTACTAACACCCTCAGCTGATTTCCTCGATGGGTACACAGGCAATGACGATGCAAACACGATCTTGTCATCACTCGAATGACGATGCAAATGCAAACACGCCATGAAAATAACATTTGGTCACGTGACAAGTGGACATAATAATAGTCTAACTGAGAGGTCATATATAAATATATTATGACCACTGAGGGTGAGTACTACTTTTGGTAAAGCAATTTTGCTGTTCAAACATATTTGCATCATTCCAAATCTTTAGCAGTCGACTAGACACATTATCAATGTATGTTTGGCCACAACTGGTGGCATACAAAATCTTTCAACACCTCTGGAGGTGTTGAAGTTATTGCAAATTCCTGAGCACATGTACTCTTGATAAAGTCAGTCTAATACTGCAATCCTTAAGCTCAAGACAATAAACCTGTATCAGGAAGATAAGAATGGCAGACAGCTTATCTGGAATTTTCTTCTTATTCTTACACATGCCACCACTTTATCCAAATCCTTGACAAGCTTTGTTTTGTTCTCATATGCTCTTTGTAGCAGTTTATGCATATGCTTGACTTTTTATTGCCTTCAGTCCTGTAAATAGTAAACACCTTGTAGAACAATAAGAAACAAATTGTATAAAAACTCTATGTCTCGACTCGTTTTATTAGCTTCCCCGTGATGCCAAACGGAAGAGATATTTGACTTGTTCTATTACTACATAAAAATTTTTCGTTGCTATTCCTATTATTCGAGATAGTGCGAAGAATAAAATTATCTGAACGGTTCTACGAATTCTCTGATCAACTTTTTTCTTATGTTTGTTAGCCAGGATTATGGCATTTATAATAAAAAAGTTTGTTGGTTAAATACAATCGTCTCCCCCACACAGTCACAATTGCATTATAATCACTATCACCGCTTTGCTAATGACATATGTAAGTTTCCCCTATATAGTCACCACCAAATAAATTCAATAACACTGAATTAGCTCAAAGAGTAAAAATTTAATGCTTACAAAGATAAGAAGATTTACTGTCGTTGCACTATTTTTGGAAATATTCCCACTTGTATATTTATTTTCGAAAACACAAAAATAAGTTGCACTTTGCATTAATGAAACTAAAACGGCTGGATAATTATTTTTCTGCTTGTACAGAGAGTCTTTGAGTATTTACTTAAACATAATAAAGGAATGATAAAAAGTTGCAGTTATTTTCATTCTTAATATTGTCTGTGACAAAATATAATCACTTGGTGTTTTATTACTTCTATTGTGACTATAAAGTTTATAGTCACCACCCTAAATAACCTGCCCCAATGCGGTGACTATATAAGGGGACACTTGATAGTAATGTAATAATCAATATCTACATTGAAAGCTTCGAAAACTTGAATTTGCAAATTTTCTAATAATGTATATGATACTCTTAGCTCCCCTACTCGACTGTAGCAGCTTCCGCCTTCCTTAGCCATCTCTTTGATGTACAGACGTTATTACGAAAAGCCAAATAAAGCACAAAGCAGTAAAGCTTAAAAACAGTTGTTTGGACTCAAAATACGTTATTATGAATTGATATGTACATAGAATTTCAAAATGCCTCGCCAACGCCAACTTTGTTAATTGGCATTGAGTTAGAAGCGCATAAAGTCCTCTAACAATTGCAAATTAAATTACCAGCAGCGATGCAATAAGTCAAAGAGAAAAAATTTGTTATTATGACTGTACGGCGTCTACGTACTTACCGGCATTGTCTCGTTCCCTCTTTCATTCGTTACGGTGCATACAAGTACAATTATTTTTTAGATTATGCACGCAGTCGATCCTTCTTATAGTGAAAATGTAAAGATGCAAAGATTTTAATGGGTTCTTATTATCAATAAAAATTGGTGATATGCTGAAAAAATAGGCATTATTAATTATGGGAGGGTTTTGACTACAAGAGGGTTGACCTGTATAATGAAAATTGAACATTCGTAAAAGGATAATGTTCGGGCGTCCGTGATCGAGAGGGAAAGAATGCCCATTCAATTAACTTCCGAAAACTGATACTTTGAACAACGAATGACGTTCTAATGTTATCATAAGAATGATAACATATTTGCGCAATCGATAATATTTCACGATAAGAGTAACCAAATCCCATGTCAATCTGATACCATTCATCTTATTGTACAATGATAATCATGTGGACGTATTACATTTTAGGAATCGGAAATGTGCCAAATCCAAATATCTCCTTGTTGCTACTAATTATAGTGATAGAGCGTAAAAATAGCCGAATAATGCCGACATGCCCCCCCAAACGTTTACAAGTCCAAAAAAAAAATAAGCAATATATCATGCACAGCAACGTGACAAATCCTGAGATCGGATACGACGTTGCTCCGATTGATGTAACTGGTTCAAGTACTCGCTGTGAGTACATATTATTACACAAACACAAAACTCGATGGTTTACTTGGTTTGTTTCATAGACTTCTATTCGCTTACATAAATACCCGTCTCACCCTAATATTATTCACTGTTTTAGCTTAATGCCCTCATAGACACTTTTGTTCACCCTCCGGTTACTGATGTAATTATTTTATTAAAACTAGATTTTTAACCTGCACTGGTGGATTAGAAATAAAATCGTAACACGTTACTCAACATATTATTTATGATGAAATCGTGTAACTCAATCGGACCTTTGAATTGTCGCTGCGTTTAAGACAATATAATCGATTTGACACAAATTTGCGTTAATGAATAATATAGGCGTTTTTTTTAATTAATAATGATTTAAGCTCGAAAAAGACTCATAAAGTTCAAAACGGGCGGTTTCAAGCAGGACAATGGTTTTCAAATTAGTAGAATTTTCTAGCAATAAAACTTGTCCAATAAACAACGGCACTAAATTAACCCATGCTTGCGTGACACAATACATTTTCACGGACCTTTTTTTTTTTTTTGTTATGGATTTGCCTTGTTTGTCAATACACCCTCGTACGTCGATGCGCCATTCCTATTATTAGTCATTACGGTCAGTTTACGTGGGCCAAGAGACTCGGACAAATCAATACAATAATAATTGTTAATGGGTTTGAGGAAGGAGGGAGGGAAGCGTAACCATT